ACATTTGAAGAGATGTAACCTCAAGTTTGTAATAATTAAAAAGTAACCTTGCTTAGTTGTCAATCAATTAGCATACCAATTAAACTGACGTGGCAGCTTTAGGTTCAATTGAAATTTGCTAGGGAAAAATAATTAGAGACGCATATAATGCATGTAACATAGTTTATATATATATATATACTAGGTGATTTTCCCGTGCTCATGCACGGACATAGATTTTTATAAAATAAATATATTATAATAATTGATTGATATTTACTTTAAATTTTAAATTAATTTATAATTTGTAGGTATAATTTATATTAATAATTTTATTTAATTTAATTATATATAATTTTAGATATGTTATATTTCATTAGTTTTATCGTTTTTACGGTTGATTTAGTTATCATTTGGATATATTAGATTCTATCTATTTTTCTGAATTCAACTATAATCTTTTTTATCCTAAATATATTTTTTTTTTGTTTATTTTTCTTATTTGCATTTATGCCGGTTGTTATCTTAGAAATATAAGTATATCTAGTAAGATTATGTATAACTTAAGATTTTTTGTGCTTAATGAGAAAAAAAAGAAAAACTAAACTATCTGATTCTAAATTACATACATAAGTAACTAAAGTTTTTTTGGAAGCTTATGAACGCATATCAATATTTATAATATTTAGATTGATTGGATCGTAAAACGAAATTTATTTTAAATAATTTTAAAAATAAAATTTGTGATTTGTTTAAGTATTTTGATTATGGTTATATTAAGTTCTACAAACATAAAAACATAAAATTAAAAATCAAAAGAGTTATTAAGAAAACATATAATTTTAACTATTAAAATATAATATATCTACTTCGTTAAATTATAGTGTTATGATATTTTAAAATAATTATATTTATTTGATACAAAAAATTATTATTAAAATTTATTTTTAGTTTTGTTTTAATATCTTTAAAATATGCAGTAAAAATGTTATTGTTTTTGAGAAATGATATTATATAAGTAAAATAGAATTTATAGTTTTTGCTGTAATTGTAAGATATTATAGTCAAATAAATATACTAAAATATATATATATTTCAAGAATACTAATTATAAAACAAAATTTGTCAATTAAACATATATCAATTTATGTTACTTAATTATTTTATGTAATCATCTAATAAAATAGATAGATATATATAAAAAAAGTAATTACTTTGAAAATATGTATATATATATATATATATATTGTTTAAAATTATTTTTTAAACAGAAAAATATTTCTTTTTCTAATATCTAGATTAGGTGTGTGAATTTTTTTTTGTGGAATCACATTATATACAAATATTGTTTTCACCTAAGAAGATATATATATAAAGTATTTTATTACTTCAAAAGTATATTTTATGATATTTAAAATATATTTAGATTAATTACTATTTTGTGAACTTTCCTTTTTTTGTGAAACCATATTTATATTTTTGTTTTTTAATAGTTTTGTAAACTTTATAAATGTTTCCTTTTTATTTTATATTGTTATTTGGAAAAAAATTAAAAGGATATAATAATATTTAAATGTATTTTTTCAATTCATTAAGGGTATCATAGTAATCAACCAGCATGAGAATTAACGTGAGCGCGACACATAAGAAAGTGACTTCTCAAATAATATTATAGAGATCGCACGCATGTAATGGAAGAAAAGGAAAATATACGATTTGATAACGATTTGCATATATTAACTATATTAACTTGATTCCTTTTAATTTATGGAAGTGTATATGTAAAATGGAAATTACTTTGTGACCAAGTACATACTTAATGGTAAAGGCAAGAACGTTTATTATATGAATATATCTTTTTATCATTTTGACAAAACAATAAACGATATAAAGAGGCCCAATCTATTATTTATAAATGTTTAAAGCTTAAACATTTACTATATGAACGTTTATTAAATTATTATATGAACGTTTATTATAAACGTTTATTATAATAGCTTATATATAATAATTATTATAAGGCAAGAACGTTTATTATATGAATATATCTTTTGATCATTTTGATCAATAGTTTAACATTTTTATTATAAAAAGATACACATGATTATAAAACCATATGAGTGAAAAGTATCATTCAATAATAAAATATATATATATATATATATATATTAAACTATATACCATATAAGATTACATACTTATTTTAATTTCAAAAATTTCAATGAATTTTCAAGAACATTTATAAATTATAAACGTATAAAATTTTTCACATTGAAAATTTTTGTTATCAATGATTTAAATATATTAGTTCTTTCTAAAAATTTTCTATTTCTTAAAGATATTAACACAGTCGATAATATGATTATTTTTGGTATATACCATACAAACCGAATGTATGTGATTTTATAAAAACCGTAAGATTTGGATATGGTTTGATTTATAATCAATTAAACTGAAACATGTAAATATGTATATCTATTTGTTACATAAGTTGAACTATAATTATGATTTGTAAATCACTTGAATCACTTGAAATATAATTAACTAACAATTTAATGCAACTGAGGCTTCTTATTTTCTTCGTCTTTTTAATCTTTTTTTTTCTTTTTTTTAATAAAACTAAACTGAAGTAAAAATTATAAATTTGATGGACAACAATTAGTTGAAATTCTTTACAATTTTTTTTTAATCTTTAAACAAACAGAGTTGTGTTCAATCGAAGACATATTAATTTGATGAACACTAAATATTGAAAAATATAAAAACTTTTTTTTCATGCTTTTGTTTTGTTTTTATTTTTATTTTTATTTTCAAAATTTAGAGATTTGATATTAATTCTAGATTTGATCATTTTATTAGATCATAAAAGCCTTTTTTTGTTTTTAATTCTTTTAGTTAAATATATAATATATTTTTTTAGAAAATGACTTTTTGACAATATGACTCTAAATATGATCATATTATTTATTTATAATATGTAATATGATTTCAAACTAAATAATGATGTATTTTGGTATAAAATTGAATAAACTGAAAACTAATATATAAACCAAATCAAACTGAAGTAAATATGAATTTAGAATAGTAGTTATATTTTAATAACCAAAATACGGAAACCCGATATCCAGATTGAACATTCTTAATCTAGATGAAACCGAACTTTTGTTTCATTTTCCAAAACATAATAAAAATAATAATTTCATCAAGGCGCGGGTCTTATCCTAGTGAGTAGTTATTTAAAAGGCTAGTTTTCCTAGTTTCCAAGGAATCATTTTTACCAATATCTTGATTGGAAAATAAAATGGTTTTTCAATCAAAACCCAAAAGCTATTTTAAGAACCACAAACAATTGATCTCATCGTTAATATTCGGATGAGAATCAAATATTTTTTATTTAATGATATTTGGTTGCACTATATATATACCAATTGCACATTTCCAATATACAAAATTTGAACTTTAAATAAGGTTAAAATATATGTTAGTTGTGATCTACATCAAATTATATAATATTTAGAACCAAGTTTTGGTGAAGTATTCATGACACGTTTTGCAGATTGCTATTTTGATAAAAAAAATTTTTTTTAATTCTAGGTAAAAAAATAAGAAAGGATATCAAATGTTGTATACCATATCTGTTACACCTTGATCCTCTTATTAAACAGTTGAAAAGGTTCGTTGAATTATTAATTTGCTAAACATTACAAATCAACTACATAATATATTTGCATACACGAAAACGGTAACAACATACATATACTAGCTGCAAATATTCTTACTCGTATAGAAATGCAACATGAAAGTGAAATGAAAAATAACATAGGAGAGTCTAAACTATATTTCTGCTGATTTTGAGGATAAGAATGACTGAAAAAAATAAAATCCTCCTAATCTAGTAGAAAATTTGGAAGAAATGAACCATGAAGATGATGACAATATTGAAACATCACGGAAAAAATCATAAGATTTATATTAATTACATTGATAATAAAAAAAAATATGAAATCAAAACAAAGTGAATGGTGTTCATAATGTTTTTTTATATTTTGTTTCAAATATCCATATATATATATATATATATATATATAAATGTCAAAAGAGACAAAATTAGACAAAATGAGAATATGCAATATAAGTCAAACTTGATTTGTTTAGAAAACAAGAGGCAATTGAGCATATTATATTCACACCTGAAGCTGTAAAATAGGTTGGGTACAAATGAGTTTTCATTCAGAAACGAATTGAGAAAAACAAAGTTATTATAGATATAAGGTTTGTTTTGTACCTCAAGGATTTTCTCGAATATTTAAGATATCGATTATGAAGATATATATTTTCCTGTTATGGGTGCAATTACGTTTTGATTTTTAATGAGTTTAACGGTCAATCAAAATCCAGAGATGCATTTAGTGGATATTGTTAAAGCAGATTTATATGGATTATTAGACACTGATATTTATTTGAAACTTTTTGAAGGATTTAAAATGCCAAAATAATTTCTAATCCTAAAAATTTATGCGTATAATTTGCAAAGATTATTATAAGGCTTAAAAAAATCTGGATGCAAATATCATTAGTCTCATAGCTAAGCTGGCAGATCCTCTTTAAAAGTTACGGTTTGGACACTCATGAATGGGGTAAATAAGAGAAGGAAGACTACGCAATGGTTCTTTTCAGAAAACGAAACATACTTATGGCTATGGGAACCCATATCGAAATAAAGGGTTCTACTATTTCATTGGTTTGAAAACTATTGAGTTAAAAGATCATGGTTTCACTCTTTCACATTTTTTGCAACCTTCCAATCAGACTCTTCGAAACCGTACAAGTGTGGAACACTAGAGAGTTGATGACACCATAGCTGATGAAGAAAATAATCTAATTCCAAACTAGCACTTAAAAGGAACAAAGATATAGCTATGATGCAAGAAATGGGTCTTTAAGACAAGATGTAATCACAATGAGGTACGTATGTAAGTTAAACTCTGTCATTCTTGGATCATAGATCTGAAATGGAAGTCTTAAGATGAACGTAAGGAGCTCCTTATTGATTAAATATGAGTGTGTAAACAGAGAACAAAATAGAGAATCAAAAGAAGGTTCCACCTTTCCCTATTAAAACAAAACAAGCAAAGGGAGAAGAAATAAAATTTCAGACAGTAACAATGTTCTATGGTCTCAGAGACCGCAGACTTACTCATACAGATTTTTTCCGGAGCATCTCCTCTGTCGGAAGCTCCAAAGTCGCTCCTGCGTGTTCCTGACTTGCTTTCACCTCTAAGACACCAATCGGTAAAAAAACGAGTTTTCAGTCACGCATTTTAACAAACAGATGGTGCGCAAAGACAGAGATCCGGAATTATAGAAAAGAGTACCGTAGCCGCCGCGTTCGTTGAGTTTAGCCTGGACGATCATGGTGGAAATGAATTGAGTGGCCTCACGCGCTTCTTCGAGTAGGCGAGGGATGTCGGAATCGGAAGCCACGTGGCGGTTCTCTTCGAACTTATTACGGATCTCGGAAGCCGAAGCCTTGAGCATCTCGGTATCTCCGGCGAAAGATTTCCTTGTAGCCCTGAGCAGAGCTCTGTATGCGATCAATGCTTCTCGGCTCACCATTTCTTCTCCTTCCCTTTGAACCCTTTGGGTCGTGCGCCGTCGTCTCCTTTGACAAAAAATGGGGATAGAAATGGATTCCGACAAACTTCCTGACCAGCTTCCAAGGTTCCAACTGGGCCCTTGGTACGTTTAAGTTTAAAACCATTTTAATGGGCCTTTAACGGATATTTCGGGTTGTACCGTTCCATCTGGATTAAACCCGAATTGCTCGGATCCGATATGGCCTCTAGCATGTTCTTCGCACACAGACTCCTTCCTTCATGGTAATACTTTACTCTTACACTTGTACATAAAAATCTTAATTCAGCACAAATTTTTAAAGAGACAAGTGGATGTAAGCATGAAATGGTCCATTGACTTTCTCTTAGTCGTCTCTGCAACTTCTATATGTAACGTCTCTAGAGATGAACTAGCTTTTTGCATTTCAACTTGGGTAATTTCAACATGGAGATGACTAGATCTCTAGAAATAACGGTGACGTCAGCAAAAGGGCTTGAGAAAGTCTCTAAGATGGATGTTTTCGTGGCCGCGAAGTTATCCGGCGATCCCAAATGTTCCGGGCATAGCGAGCAGCGGACACAAGTGGCTAGAGACTGTGGAACAAGCCCCAGGTGGATCGATGGCGTCATGAAATTCACTATCGACCAAACCTTAGCTGAGGCTAACCGGCTTGTGATCACATTCACGATCAAATGCGAGCAACGTGGAGGAGGTGATAAAGACATCGGCGTGGTTCACGTTCCGGTGAAAGAGCTTTTGGATCATCTCGGAAACGACAAGGCCGGTCAAAGATACGTCACGTACAGAATCAAGAAGACTAATGGAAAACCAGGAGGTGATATCAGTTTCACTTATTCCTTTACCGGTCCGGTGCCTGTTGCGAGCTATGTTGGATGCCCACGTTACATTGCTCACGAGCCAGTGCGTCCCCCTGCATCGAAGTGCCAGCCTGTTACGAACGGACCCGCGTTGAGTCAGTTGCTTCCAAGCGTTGGATCGTTTAGCTATGGTCACGGTCCTTCTCACCAGCCACCGGTTTATCCACCACAGGCTCAGCCGGAGATTCTGCCTCAGGCATGTTTCCCTGGCTTGTATCCACCTAGTGGCTATCCGATGAGTTACACACCGGAAAGCCCACCGTCAATGTATGCATCTATATTTCCTGGCTTATCATGTCCACCTGAAGGCTATCCTAATGTGGCTCCGCCGCAGACACAACCGGCACCATACCCACCGATGAATCCTTACAGATTTTGACTGGTCAACTCTTCGGAACTTATAAGGAAATTTGTAGACATTAACTTTTTTTTTCTTTTTCTATTCAACTTCCTATATATATTTTTTCAAACAGAAAAATAAATTGTGTGCTTGTTGTTGATTTTCTTTTTGCAAAAGATTGTTGTTGGTTTTGTTATTATTGAAAATATTGGTCATATTAAATTAGAATTTATAGAAACTACATTCAAGACGTTAGATTAAATCAATATGAAAACCATTTAATAAAATTTGGATAAGAATGTTACAGTTTAATATATTGGTTGCGAGATTTGTGTAACAAGCAAAAATACTGATAACAGATAAAACAGAACAGATCTAAATCATATCCTTCTAAACTAAAGAAAACTAGAGTTTCACCCGCACATTCGTGCGGGTATATTTTTATTTTATAAATATATAACTAAAAATTTTAAATAATAAGTAAATAAAGAAATACTTATTTTATAAAAACAATATTTAAATTTTTGGTAAGATCTTGTTAGATTTTTTCAACAGATTTTGTTGTATTTAAATTCATTTATTATTAATATATTTATTAATTATTAAGATAATTTTAAAATAATATATATTTGACTGGTTAATGTAACAATCAAAAATTGTCAAATTAAATAATTAATGACATGGTCCAATATGACTTCTAAATAGTAGATAAATTTGGTACTTCTCTTTTAATAGAGAAGATGAAGTACAATGAAACATTCAACTTTTGTTATAAAATAATATAGATTTGTAAGACGCAATTGGAAAAAAAAAAAATGTAACAATACATTTCTGGATTGTTAACAGTATTGTTAGGTACATAATACTGATTTATATAAAGAGTTGATATGAACTTGAAATAGAAAAAAAGTGTCTTTGTATTATTCTCAGATAGATTAAAAATTATGAACTGTAAAATAAATCAGCTATAATTTTCTGTAATATAATAATTTGAGTTTATCCAAAACTTATTTTTTTTCTTTGATAAGAAGACGAGTAGCCGCCTGAAAGAGACGACGGCAACAAACAAGCAACCCACGAAGTCCTTGTTCCCACGCTTCATAGATTCATTTTAGATTCCAAATTTCCAATGGCCACCGTCTCCCCCGCTTCTGCCTGGCCAAACGATTCCACCTCCGCCTCAGATTCCGACTCCACTCTTCCCTCTCACCACCGCGATCGTGGAGAAGACGACACCGAGTCTCTCGATTCCTTCTCCTCCATGAGCCTCAACTCCGAAGAGGTCCCCCATAATTCCGATCGAATTCCCGATTCCAACCGTGACGTCGTCAATACTCAAACGCCGTCGTTGCTCCACCTCTCCTTCAACCAAGACCACGCCTGCTTCGCCGTCGGCACCGACCGCGGCTTCCGGATCCTCAACTGCGACCCCTTCCGCGAAATCTTCCGGCGCGATTTCGATCGCGGCGGCGGGGTCGCGGTCGTGGAGATGCTCTTCAGATGCAACATCCTAGCGCTCGTGGGAGGAGGACCTGATCCGCAGTATCCTCCCAACAAGGTCATGATCTGGGACGATCACCAGAGCAGATGCATCGGCGAACTCTCCTTCAGGTCCGATGTTCGATCCGTTAGGCTCAGGAGGGATCGGATCATCGTCGTTCTTGAGCAGAAGATTTTTGTTTATAATTTCGCGGATTTGAAGCTGTTGCATCAGATTGAGACTATTGCGAACCCTAAGGGGTTGTGCGCGGTGTCTCAGGGGGCGGGTTCGATGGTGTTGGTGTGCCCTGGTTTGCAGAAAGGGCAAGTGAGGATTGAGCATTATGCTTCGAAACGGACTAAGTTCGTTATGGCTCATGATTCGAGGATTGCTTGCTTCGCTCTCACGCAGGATGGGCATTTGTTGGCTACGGCTAGCTCTAAGGGGACTCTGGTTCGTGTGTTTAATACTGTTGATGGCACCTTGTGCCAAGAGGTATTTTTTTTAATCAATGAAAGTCTTTCTCTTTAGTTATTGTTTAGTTGTTATACTGGATTTGGGGTGGATGAAATATGCAAAGTAGAGACTAAAGAGTAGGGTTGGATCTTGATGATCTCATATTATTAGCTGAGAGATGCTGAGAAGTTCATTTCTTATATGATCCTCAAATACTGTTTAGATTTGATTTGCTTCCTGTTGTTAGGTCGTGGAATCCTTCTATTTTTTTGCACCTGATATCCCAACTTTTTTATTTAGATACTACTTTCGAGGGAACATGGTAATAGTCTGATATTACCACATTAAACTGTTAGGGTCATTGATGAATCTATCGTCAGAGGAATTTGTTATTATCGAAAGATGTCGTAATACATGTTGCAAGCTGCAAAAATGCAAACTACTATTTCATCGGAGTTGCTTAATTAAGCTCATTTTGCATCGGTTACTCCATAGGAGAGACTCCTAGTATTTATCTGTGTTAGGATGTTGGATTTCTCATCTTATACAAGCTTGTGAAGTCTTACGATTCTTATTTTGTTGGGAAATCTCTAATGTAGTAATAATAATTTATGAGTTTGGAGTACATGGTTGTTCAGTAATGCCAACGTGTGTATGTGAATGTACAGGTTAGGAGGGGTGCAGATAGAGCAGAGATATATAGTCTGGCTTTCTCTTCAAATGCTCAGTGGTTAGCTGTCTCAAGTGACAAAGGAACCGTCCATGTCTTTGGTCTCAAAGGCAACTCCGGCTCTCAAGTGAAAGACACACCACGAATTGCAGCTGAACTTACTCGTACTTCCTCACACCCATCCTCGTCCCTGTCATTATTTAAAGGTATATATAATCACCAGTTACTTTCACCCATCTCCTCTTGGTTCAGTAACCTTAACTCTTTTTCTTCTATTAGGAGTGTTGCCCAAGTATTTCAGCTCGGAGTGGTCGGTGGCTCAATTCCGGTTGGTGGAAGGAACTCAGTACATAGTCGCCTTTGGCCATCAGAAAAATACTGTTGTTATTCTTGGCATGGATGGGAGGTAGGCAGAAAAAAAAACTTGTTATTCCATTGACAAACTTGAATTGAGTTATGTAAGAACTCTTGAACAGCTTCTACAGGTGATTTGACCAGAGTCTGTATTATCTTCTTTGTTGTTTGTTTTGAACAGCTTCTACAGGTGCCAGTTTGATCCGGTGAATGGGGGAGAAATGTCTCAGCTTGAGTATCACAACTGTCTAAAACCTCCTTCTGTTTTCTAGATGAAACTATTTTCTCTTTAGTTCCTTCTATCTTTATCTCTGCCTACTTAAGTGGTGAGATTTGGTGCAACCCTATGGTGTTAATGTATAGTATGTGTGTATAATAATAACGAATGGTTCTTTATAATTTGCAAAATCTTTTATAGCTTACCAAAACAGATTCAGGGCTCTTCAGTTTGCGTCTTCCCCAGACATTTCAGTTAACCAACTTGTCTTGTTCCGGTCAAAGGACGAGAGATCACGTGAACTAAGTGTCACGTGTATGTTTGAATTGAACAGAGTTCGGTCGTGTGTGGAACTCGTCGGTGGGTTATCACAAAGGTGTAAATCTAGACGAACTGAGTGAACGGGAGATTTTATTTATAAACGGAGAGAGTACAAAGAGAATCCTGGTGCTTGGGAGTTTTACCGGGATTATGTTTGGGTTTGATTAAGACAACGGAATAAATCTAGCTATTTGCCCTAATCTATGCCGCCGTCTCTATGTCAAGTTTCGGATCCCTCGCTCGTGCTCCTTCCCTCTCCTTTTATAGCTCGAACTCTTCGGTCTTAACCTAGGTCGCTCTCGGCTCGTGGGCCTCTGGTATTGGGCCTGCTGTCGGCTCGATAACGCCTTTTCCTGCTTGTACGGGCGCCACTCGGATATAAGTGAGTCTTTTTGTCTTATTAACTGTTCACCCTTGCCGGGCCGAATGTGATTTCCCGTGGGCCTTGAGGGGTGGATACAGCCCACCTCCTACAGTAAGTCCTCCCAGTCTATTGACGATCGGTCGACGAGTCAATAGAATGAACCAATTAGGTTTACGGGAAAGCATACTCGGAGTGCGGGAGAGAGTTTCGAAAGCTCCCCTTTTAGGCGAGGAGTTCGCTCATCACCCGGGACGGACGCGAATGCATTGCTTGGTCTCGTGCAGACAATCAGTTGTTCGCGATTCATTCGGTGACCGAGTAAGTGAAAAAGGCGACCGGGTCGCTCGCTTGGTTCTATTCGGTAATCGAAAAGAAGCGACGATCACGCTGTTTACTCGGCTTCCGTCTGCTAATATGTTTCTCAGTCTGCTCGGTGATCGAGCGGGAATGGTGGTCGTGTCGCTCACTCGGTTTCCGTTGATTGACGTTTCTCATGGGTTACTCGGTAATTGAGCATGGTGACGGTCGTGTCGTTTACTCGGCTTCTGTTGATTGACGTCTCTCACGGTTTACCCGGTAATCGAGCAGGATGACGATCGTGTCGTTTACTCGGCTTCCGTTGATTGACGTCTCTCGCGGTTTACCCGATAATCGAGCAGGATGACGATCGTGTCGTTTACTCGGCTTCCGTTGATTGACGTCTCTCACGGTTTACCCGGTAATCGAGCAGGATGACGATCGTGTCGTTTACTCGGCTTCCGTCTGCCAATACGTTTCTCAGCTTGCTCGGGTGCGTAGGAAGGGAATGCGAACCGTCGCGAATGATGGGCTTCTTCATATCAGACTCGGCCCATTAAGGGCGGAATATGAACAGTCGCGAAATAAAAGCCCATCTAGGTCTTCGTAGACCTAATAAATGCAGCACTGAGATCCGCGCCTTGCTCCTCTTATATATATACCCCTCTTGCCTCTGCTTCTTTCATTCTTCTCCGTGAAATCAGGTATTCTCTCTCCCTTCTCTCTACTTTCTCTCTCTAGACTGTTTGTAAGATATATACGCACTGCTGGTTACGATGTGTCCCCGAAAGCGATTGACTCGGGAAGAGAAAGGGAAAGATGTAGCGCGAGACGAGACAACCGGTGAGCCTTTAGATGACTTCGATTTAGAGCATCGAAGGGCGCTCCGCGACTCGGCTAGTCTTGATTTGGCGCAGAGACTTCTTGTCGTTGATTCGGAGAGGGAGTTGAGAGGAGAGGCTGCCGGTAACGAGGCTGCCGAGTCACTTGGTGTCCCGATTTTAACCAGGAATCCCCCAGCGCAACCCGTTGGGTTTAACGCCCGGGGTCGTGCCGTCAGAGCGTCGGGTGAGGCTCGAACAACGGGTCCTTCTGAACGTACTCGAGTTGTTGCCAGTCCTCCTCCGGTCCCAACACGTTACTTGGGAAATGGCGTCTTCGAGCGGGGTACGGAAATTCCGTCAAACTTAATCTGCGACCGCGGTACTTATTCCAACAGACGCATAATGTCGACGTGGTCTACTTCTACTCGGGTTGAGAATTTTCTGAAGCGTCTTGATGCAGTTGGAGTTACGTACTTGATTCCGACCGATAGTCAGCGGCCCTGGGCACCTCCGATGGGATATCAGTGCGTGTATGAGGCATATTTCGAAAGGGACACGAGGCTCTGGTTCCCGATTCCGAGACTTGTGACTTCATATGCTGCCCGTCGTGACCTTGCCGTAAGTCAGTTCGTAAATGGCGCGTTCCGCCTGATAGTTGCGCTGTTGGTGATGTCAGCCGAGCTCGGCATTGTACTTTGTCCCTGAGCGTTCGAGGAATTAACTTCAATCAAACCGCTGGATGACGACTTCTTCTCCATCACGATGAGGCCGAGCTACAATGTGATCACGGGACATCCTTCAAAAACCACCAATTGGCAGCGATATTACTTCTTCGTCAAGTCGGACGAGTTTTCATTTGTCGATCCCCCGGACGTCGGATCACGAGTGTTTTGGAATTGGCATGCTGGTAGATAGTTACTCTTCTCTTGTAAACATGTTCTCGCATACTTACCGACTCTCTTGTTATTGTGCAGTGAATCATCCATACCTGACCGGGGTTCCAGGCTCTTTCTACGATAACGCTCGGGCATTGGTTGAACTTGGACATCTTCGGTGGCCCGAGATAAGCGAGGCGAGGATACGTCGTTGGCTGAATCGCATAGACGACGGTGAGACTCTTTGCTTTACGTTATTTCTCCCTCCCTTTTCCGTCTCTACGTGCCATACTTAACATCCTTGTTCGTCTATGTATTTTGTGTAGGTATGTGGGACTCGAAGTTACCGTGCAAAAGTCGGACTGACAAGAAACGGTCGGTGCTTTTCTCGAGGGCGGAACAAAAGGCTATTAACCAAGCACGGAAGATGAGAGGTATTCCGGATTTGTCTCAGGAAATAGAGGAGGAAGAGGAGCTGGGAGGAGCAGGGATTATGAACGTGCTGAATACGTTCAACCTTGACGGATCCGAGCCTGCAGACGCCACTGCCCCTCCTACTGGTGATTTGTCGAAGGCGGGGTCGATCGACCCCGTGGAACCTAAAGGTCGCCTTGATGGGGGAATTACTCAGGATCCTCCGATTTTCGAAAAACAGGCTGTCTCCGATACTCCCTCCAAGAAGAAGAGGAGAAGGAAAGAGTCTACCGAAGGGTCGGCTGGAGGATCGAGGCGGAAGCCGGATGGCGATGATCCCGGTTCGAAGCCGAGTGAAGGGATCGGTTCCTCTATTGCCAAGGAACAAATCGTGCCTGATCAACCCGCCAAGAAGAGGAGGAAAAAGAAGAAAGGGTCGGCTGAGAAGTCCGCTGAGAAGCCTACTCGGGGGTCGACTGACGATGGACCCGACTCCGCGACCGGGAACGCCTCAGTTCCACGAGACGAGGTGGTGGAGCATCCCCAAGCAGAGGAAGCCGCGGTTGTAAACCGAGTGGCTGACGAATCTCTTCCCGGTCTTCCGGATGGCTCAATGGATCGATCGTCTAAATCCCCGTCTAAAGGAGAACTCGAGGGAGGCGAAAGAACGATGGCTACGCCGGATCCTGTCGCAGGGTCTCTAAGCGGCGTCCCTCCTCTGAGTTCTGTCCTCGGGACTTCGTCTTCTCCTGGAGATCGTCCGATTACCCGGAAGTTCAAGACTGTCTTCCCGGACAAGGTTTCCTTTTCGTACGACGAGGCGTCTCCACTAATTTCCAATGGACCTAGATGTGCCGAACTTGTCGGTCAGATAAAAGGGGGCCCGCGCAGCCTTCCGCTCGCGGATCAGTTGGTCTTTCCGAGTGCTTTCAAGGATGCTTCACGAAACTTCTTGACTGTAAGTATCCGTCTCTTTCGGTTGCTCGGCATATGTACGTGTCGGCTTTCCTCCTAACTTTAACTTACACGTTTGCCGATTGTTTCAGGCTGGTGGCAGCTTTAACTTTCTCGTTGAGAAGTACGACTCGGAGCTCAAGAGAGCGTATGCTGACTCGGGCAAAGCCCGAGAGAAGGTTAGAGACGGGAAGAGGCGGATTAAGTCTTTGAAAGCCTCCTTGAAGCGGGTTGAGACGGAGAAGGAGGAAGCCACTCGTCGTGCGGAGGTCGAGGCGATGCGAGCTGAGAATATCTCGAGCAGATTCAAGTCCATGAGGGACGCGGCTGCTAAGGTCGAAAAGGAGAGGGCTGGTCTATTTTTGGAGAAGTTTCGGTTGGAGCGCGAGAAGCTCGAACTTATTGAGGCGCACGCGAAGGAAGCTGCTCGCTTGAGAGAATCCCGGGTTTTCGAGGTTACTAAGGAGCGGGCTAGGGTAACCGCCGTGATGTGCACAAAAAAGTTCGTCAGAATGGAGCGAATCCGCAACCGGGAAAATTCCTTCCCGCAGTTTGATGATGCTCGGCTGCGTTACAGCCAGGCTTTCGGTACCCGGAAGTGTCTCGAGCTCCTACAGAAAAAGGGGGATCCGATCCCGCAGGAGAGAATAGAATACTTTCGTAAAAAGGAGGAATACTGGTTTGCTGAAGCCAATCGACTGGATGTGGGTCCTCTGACGGAGCCCGACTTGGAGGTATCTCCGCTTGCGCTGGAATCGGAGTTTGTTGATCAGGATCTGCTCGACATGCTTGTAGCGGATTTTGAGAAGGAGCTCGCTTCGGGTCCGCATGGCTCTAACCTGAATCTGATAAGTCCGGAGGCTGCTGCGCGACTTCGTACTCCTGGTCATTCGGTGGAAGGCGTTAACGAAGATGCCGAAGAAGCGTCCGTCACGGGATCTTCAGGGGAGGTTGACTGCTCGGGTTCGGGAGGCTCCGGACGAAAGGGAGGCAGCGTCGATAGTGATAAGGCGAGACCTAACCCGATGAGTCCAGAAGAACAACGTGAACAGGTCGACACTCTGCCGAAC